CACTATTGTACATGAATATACACGACTACACACACACACACACACACACACACACACACACACACAGACTCTCTTTTCCACATACACGCTCACTTATGTCCTAAACAGGTGCGACGTGATGCAATAAGCTTCCAGCAAAACATAATCTTTGTTCATGTGAATCCAGAAAAGAAGAGTAAGATATGAGTAATTTTGACATCATTCCCAGACTTCTACAGGTGTTATTTCATAGTTTTCATGACTTTACTATTATTCTGACATGTGCAAAATGTTCTGTTGCCTTACGCTTCATTGCATCGCAGCTGCTAAAGACGGCGTGTCGCACACAAACACAGGACGAACGCAGCAGGTCTCCGGCCTGGTTAAGTCCAGCACATCCAGGCTTGACCTTTGACCCCTGCTCACCTCTAGAGTCCCTTAAGAGTCTCCTGAGACACATTACAGCGCGTCTCCTCCACGTTAAGGAATATTTAAGGCAGGAAGGCACCTCATCAAGAGACAAACCAGTGTCTGAAGATTTCAGCGGAGAAGATCCTCCGTGTTTACAGATCCCGGTGTCAGGTCGTAACGGCCTGATTCATGTCAGACCTCAGCAAAATATACATTTGTTAGTCCATCTATGTGCAGCAGGTGAAGTAAATGCCAGCGTTGTGCCAGCGATGCATCAGTGTTCGGCCCATTGCTGCCATTAAATTCATGCTTAAAGGCACAGTTCACCATTATTTACTCACCCTCATGTCGTTCCAAAACTGAACAATTTATGGACAATTTAAGGCAAGCCACCACAGGTAAATAAGGAAAATGTTAACTAATAGATATCATCATACTTTCCTTGATTGATTAATCATAGTACATTAAGACAATTGTTTTGTATTACAAGTTTTCTGAAATGTTGTTTAAATATGCAAAAGATGCATTGTTAAATAAACTGTATTTTTAGTAGTTTTGTCTTGTTTTCAAGTACAAATATCTAAACATCCTTAAATCAAGATAAATTTAACTGAGAAACAAGATATTAATACTGACTTTCTGCAAAATGTATCAAAATTCAGTTTTATTCTTAAAATGATAAAAAAATATCCACCAGTAGGGACAGAAAAATAATCTTTTCCCTTTAAATTAAGATTATTTTTCTTACACCGCTGGCAGATATTTTTGTTCATTTTAAGGAAAAACTAACCAAATTTGGATACATTTTTCAGAAAACAAGACTCAAGTAATTTTGCTTCTCAAGTAAATTTATCTTGTTTCAAAAACTGGACATTTGTACATGAAAACAAGATGAAAATGCTAAGAACATTTTTTTTAAAAATTGTAATTAAACTTAAATATTAGATACACACTAATTTACATACATTTCCAGAACAGAAATATGAACATTGGTTTAAAATTCTTGGCACATTTGTACAGAGGGGGTTTTGGATTTCTCTTTTATTTTATTTTTAGAAAATGCTGTTAGAATTATGTTTTTGGATTAAAATGTTAAATATATATCAGGTGAATCGTATATGAAAAAATCCCTCTGTAAAATCCTTCAGAATATGTAAATGTGTATTGATAAGAGAACATGTGTATTGATATGTATTGTAATTGAAAACTACAGATGCAATTAGATAAAGCATAATAAAATAAACACTTAAATGTGTATTTTAGATGATTTCTTTCCACTGGGGGAAAAAAAAAATAAAAATGACGACTTGTTATGGAAGCAAAATAGCCCAAAAAACAATGTTTTTTCTTGTAGTGTCTTGCCTTGAAATAACATTTTAATACATTTCTTCCACGGAAGAAAAGTTCATACAAGTTTGGAACGACAGTGAGTAAATGTTCACTGTAGTTTTAATTTGAGGTGAACTGTCCCTTTAAAGACCCTGGGCAGTAATGGTGCATGTCGAAGGCAGTGAGTGAGGCGACGGCCTGATCGACGCAGGATTTCCGATGAAGGCACAGGAAGTCGTATCTCAGTCTGTGTGTTCAGTTCAGGAGGAAAAACAGGCACGGGTCACCCTCCGATCCCCTGCGGCAGTGTTGAAGACCTAACGCTGGACACCGAGCCCAAACCCCTCGATACCGTGATGAGGGATGAAATAATAATAAAAGCCTCCCCAGTTGGTCAAACGGGCACGACCGAACCCCTGTTTATTGTTCAGAGGAAGGACCGATCCTTCTGTCTTGATTTCCTCTCGCTCCTCGTTCAGCGTGAGTCGTGTGTTCACAGTTCAGTGACGTGGAGCGGGTAACTCGGGGGCGGGTGGGGCGGTAGAGGGGTTTTTAACCGGTGCAGGTGGCATCGGTGGCACAGCAGGTGCCCATCCAGCGGGTAACAGCGATGCCCCTCTTCATCATTCAACTGCAGACCGCAATCCTGCAAAGCATGTGTTATTGTCTTAGTGTGTTTGATAGAAATGAAGTCAGGCCTTTTTCAATGAATCATCACCCTTGTGGCTGGATCTACACTGTAAATAATTTAATGCACAAAGCTTGCTTTACATCTGCAAGTCATCTGGAAAAATCCATAGCCAGAGGAAGAAATCCAGAACTGCAGTTTGGTCGGTAAATAAATGAACATGAGGCTGATTCAATGTTTTGACAAGGACTTCAAACCATCACCCTTATCTCAAATCTGTCACATGGCAATTTTGTTTTGTTCAAATTATAAAATTTAGAAAACTACTTACATATAATAAAAATATTACTAATATTACATTTTACATAAAAAATAAAATTTTTTAAATAATACTGCAGCCCAAAATCACTTTCTTTAGCAAAAAAAAAAGAGCTTTCCTCTTTAATAAGAGGTTTTCTCTTTGAGAAATGTGTTTAAGTCAACATTTTAACTCACAGTCTCAAAGTTTAGCTGAATGACCCGCTCTGAAATGTCATCAGTCAATGATTCACAATATTAATGCACATTCATACCTGTGCCATGGCCTAATACACACAAAAAACATCTTACATAACGCCAGTGCATTATCCTGGAGCGTAAACATGACCCCTTGTTAGGTGCCATTTACCAGACGCGAGTAAATCACAGTGAACCAGTGTTCGTGTGGAGTTAAAAATGGTTAAGTGACTTCACAATGAGATTGAACATGCAACCTTCAGTCAGTATTTCAGAGCAATAGCCACTGAATTACCTCACAGTGATAGCATTCCACATGGTAATCTTTATCCATGGACACCACCCGTATGGTCTCCTCTGAACCCTACAAACACACACACACACACCTAATTAACCTCTGTCAGGACAGTCCTGAAACGTGACATCAATTCAACTCATACAACATCAGTCTAATGCATTTAAAAGCTGGTACCTGCGCTGGGAGGATGGGCTGGTTACACGAGGCACATTTAGGAGCAAAAGCCCTATAGAAAAACATTGAAACATACATCAACATCTCGGTTACGCTGGACAGCCAAAACAGCACTAAACAGGTTATGCATGAAAAACAAAATAGCATAAATGCGTGGTTGTCACTCACCTGTGGTAGTCTTTCACACAGTAGATGTTGTTCTCCACATCCACGGTAAAAGGAACACCGTCCAGACCCTCCTTACAAACCACACAGCGGAAACAGCCTGGATGATACGACTTACCCAGAGCCTGCAGGATCTACAACACACACACACACACAGGTGGCCAAACTAATGAGGCACAATAACATCATTTCTGTATCTAATAATACACTCACTCATATTACAGAGATGATGCAGCTTTGATAAGCCATTTTTGGTTGCATATTTATTTAAAATGGTAAAACTAAATTCACAAGAGATCCTTCCTCTGAAAAATGAGAGCAATAGTTATAGTGCAATACATCAAATCTCTCGTACCATCTCCATGATGAGGTGACCGCACACGAAGCATTTTTCTGCCGTCTGCTGGAACCCGGAGTACTACAGAAGAAAAAAAATTACAACTCAAATGCAAGATCATATTTATTAACTTTGCATGATTTTTTTGTTTCTTCTGCTCACCAAAACTGCATTTATTTGATCAAAAATACAGTTCGACGGAACACGTGTGTAATTAAACAAGAAACAACGGAGTGCCTAATAAAACCCTCTTTTGTGCGGAACTACTTCCTTCCGCCACGGATTCAAAGCTCAAGTTGACAGTTAAACATACGTCACTTTTAGAATTCGTATCAAGGGCATGTGCTGCTTCAGTTAGGTTATTAGTGAGAAATAATGAGGTTATAAGAGAGAAACAATGCGGCAAGATGTGCATCTGAATGAGAGAGAGACCGCGAAGCTAGTCGTTTCTTCTTATATTAACTAACGTACTCTACGAATAGCTCAGATAATAATAATAAAAACATAGACCCGGCTAGAACAAGCGGAGTGATACAAAATTGTGAAAGGGTGTTCCTGTAGCGATACCAGTACAATATCTCACGGTTCTCAACCAATCAGATTTGAGAACCAGAACGAACTGTTGTATAAGATATAATATAATATGATGCCACACTACTTGACAATTCCTGTCTGCTACCCATCTGCAAAAATGATGTAATTCCAAAAACTTGCACCAGTAATGAAGCAGCATCACTATTGAATGCGTCTCAAGGGGGCGCTGGCACGCTCTCTCTGTGCCCAGCTTCGGAAACGTCCTACGGGGCTGTTTAGCTCTGTGCATCTGATTAAACACTTAAGACACCAGCCGAAAATCCCACATGATTATCAGCATGATTCCTGAGAAGATCCACAACTTGATGGATTAAGGCAGCGGCCGCTATAAGAATCATTCTGGAAGGTTCTTATCGTTCAGTGTGAGGTGTTGGACCTCCAAAAGACTTTCCTGAGACTTCAGAGGTTGTTAACGGTGGACAGGTTGCAGGCGTCTTAAGTACAGAAACGACCCTGAGGGGAGCCATCTGTCCCGGAAAAGGGCTTTGACCTGGTTACCAGGGTGACAAGGGTTTGGAGCACAGCCATTAGAGTAAGGATGTTCTCAAACATGCACTCTATGGAAATGAGAGGCCGAGGCCACACAGGATCCTCGGATTCTATTGTAGGAACCAAAGGCTACATTTTAACGACGTGGAACTTTCCGTCCGGCCGTGGAACGTCGTTCCATTCCGTACTGATGACATCACCGCTCGCCTGAACACTCTTTTCATTGGTGCGCTGGTGTTCGTGTGAGCGTGTGCTCGTTGTGGAGCGAGGGCCAGCAGGTGGGGTTGGGAGGGACTGATCAATACCAGGAAACCCCCACCCGTCCCATCAGACAGGCCATCTGCCGGACCCCCGGCGGCGTGTTCCTCAGTCGCTCACGTCAACACAAGTACTGTTTGGGGTCATTAAGTGGCTGACCAATGTTTTTTTTTTTTTTTTTCTTTTTTTTATTATAATTTAAAACTTGGTTAATCTCATATGTTATTTGCCTCTGCTTTTCCTATTTCAGAGACAGAGATGGTCACTTTGGACCTACAAATTCTTCCTTCCCCTACACCAGCAGTCAGCTCACCTTCAGTCCTTCCTTGCTCCAGTGCATCAAGTGGACTCTCAAATCAAGAATCTAGCAGCTCCGAAGACTGCGGTCCATCCTCCCAAATCAAAAAAACATGGCCAGAGACATTTCAGATTCCTTGGACTGCAATGCCTATGGACATTCGTTCAGCAATGGCTGATGGCAAGAGACCTTCACCAGCAGCACGGCGACAAATGGTCAGAGTTTTGGCAGATGAGATGAGGAAATATGAGCTAAACCCAACACGCGGACAATGTGTCACAGTCTGCCGAAACATCATCCGCCAGTATCCTCAAAGTTTTGCTGATCTCCGTGACAATGGTCAGGTACTAGGAAATGGTTATACCTCACTGTTAATTCAAATTAAAAACCGAATTGAAAATCTGAACCGCACCACCAGCTTTCGCCAACACCGTTCATCTGGTGATGGACTAAAGAGAGGGCCTACTGACACATATGGCTGCACCAGATTCCAGCCTGATCTCCCACCAGAGGAGACAGATGAAACCGTAGAGCAGAAACGTCAGCGGCTGGAGGAGATATACCGTCGAGATGGAATAAATGGGGTTGAAAAAGCAGAAGTTAAGCAACTTATGGAAACAACCTTTTGCCTCCAGCGGCAGCAAATAAACACATTACCAGCACCCACCATCGCTGATTTAAGAAAGCAGTGGCCATACCTTTTCACTCAGAAAGGGATTTATGCTCATTTTGAGCTTCTTACTGATATCAAAGTTATGCGTGCACTTGAGCTTGCCATGGAAGAGTGTGGAAGAGCCATTGTGGAGTTCTTCAGCAACAAATCCACCAATGCAGATGTCAGGGCAGTCATTTCTCTGCGGCCAGACCTCGAGCTTTCCTTCTGCATCATCCAACTTCTCATGGCTCACTTCTCTGAGACTCAGGAAGGGCTGATCCTTTTTGCAAATGTAAGTATTTTTTTTGTTGTTGTTGTTGTTTATTTTCTATCATGGTATTATTGTAAATAGGTAAAATGATTTCAGTTTCCCTTGCATTTATTTGCAATCTGGCAGTAGAAAATTAATATGTTATGTGACTGCCTGACATTGTTTTTTCTTTGGAATGTTTTAGGTGAAAAACCAGGAAGCTGCATTCATAAATGGATGATTAGTTTTGAGGGGCAAATAATCGGTGAGGGCATCCAGCCAAGTTTTCTGCTGTGTTTTCGACTTTCTACAATTTCAATGTGGAGTACCAAGCTGAGGCTGCATCCACGTTGGAATTCATTCAGAGGTTAGATGCTTAGATTCATATATTAATTTCTATTCACATTCTCGTTATGTAAACTTTTACCCACACTAATTCTGAATGTACGCATTTGTTTTTCAGGCGCTTCATTGGTATAAATCCTGAAAAAGGCACCAAGGGTGGACAAGTCCTATCAAAGCGGACAGGGAAGGTCGCCCACAAAAAGAAATCAGTCAACACTCGGGTTGCCAGTCTACTTAAGAAACTAATGGACTTTGAGTGGGACTTCATATAAGTGAACCCACTCATTCACTGACATACCACACACACACCTTACACATACTCTTCACACACGACAAAAACATGCTTTTAGTGTGTTAGTCGCACAATTTTTTCAGGTGTTCATTTTTGAATACCAACATTTTCACTTCATTCTTCATTGAATTCTTTCTTCATTCAGTAATTCTTATTCACTAATAATTCAGTAATTCTTATTCACTCAGTAGTTCTCTGAGTCACTCATTTAGTTTTTTCTAATGTTATATAAATGTTTTGTTTATTCAGTTAAACAAAAGTTTATTCTGAAGCTTAAGTTTTAGTCATTTCACTTGCATCAGCCACTAATTTTGAGAATATTAAAGTGGCTTTTGTTTTTCAAAGTTTTAATAAAGCACGTTTTGAAGTTACACTGCATTGTGTTAAATTTTTATTGTTTCAAAGGCTATATTTGTACATTGTATTAAAACATGATTTTATAGCAAAACTTCTAAGGGGTAATTCATAAAATCAAAGAAATATCTAGAAAAATAATTCCACCTTTTTTTCTTAGCAGTCCATTTCTCAATATAATAACATTTGTAGTTTACAGTTAAAAAAGGGCAAATAAACATTAATTAACTGTTAATGCTTTTGACAGTAATTTACTGTTAATGTAGAAAATAACAGCTTTATGCTGTATTTCCAAAAACAGCAGGCACTGTTAATTTAACAGTAACTTGCTGGCAACCGTGCTGCCAGTTACTTACTGTTTTTTAACAGGACAATTTTTAACAGTGTGGGGCTTAGCAACAAGGTTATTATAGTTTTGCATTTTTAAATTCGTTTTATTTTAATATCGTTTTCAAATTTGCAATACAATTTAGTTTCGTTTTTATTAGTTTCCTTAATAATTTTGTTAGTTTTAGTTTAGTTTTTATTTTGTGAACACATTTCTCTTTAGTTTTTATATAGCTTAGTTTCAGTTTTAGTTTTAGTTTTAGTAGGCTAATTCAAGTTTAGCAGAATTAACAGATCACTTCCAGAGCACAGGCCGAAGAAAGACTTTGGCTAATTTAACCTTAGTGATGCACACGTCTAGGGACACAAAATTAAAGCATGCTGAGATTGATTAGATGGTAAAAGTATACAAATACACATCAAAATGAAGCAGTCATGCATTTTTAAATCTACACAAGTTGCACTTACATTATATTTAAAACGTACTACTGAATGATAAATGTGTGTAGCTAATTTCTTTGTATTATATGTCTTTCATCTTATTTAACCATAATCATGATACCATAACTGTCCTGTCTTGCTCACTTTCCCGCGAACAAAC